GGGGGGGGGGGGGGGGGGGGGGGGGGGGGGGGGGGGGGGGAGGCCTGACCCGGGGCTTCTCTCCCCTGGGACAGAGCTGGACGAGGCTTCCCGGGCGCTGGAGGCCTTTGAGCTGAAGAAGGCGGCTGCCCGGGCCGTGACAGGGGCCCTGGCCTCCCACCCCAACAGCACCGACGTCCACGTCATCAGCCTCTCGCTCACCTTCCACGGCCAGGAGCTGCTCAGCGACACCCGGCTGGAGCTCAACTCGGGACGACGCTACGGCCTCATCGGCCTCAACGGCACCGGTGAGAGGCCCCGCGGCTTATAGGCCCAGCCGGGGGAGGGGTGGGGGAAGGGCCTGTCCGGGCCTGTCGCTGCCACGGCTTCCGTCTCTCTCCCCCCCCCCCCCCCCGCAGGCAAGTCCATGCTGCTGTCGGCCATCGGGAAGCGGGAGGTGCCTATCCCGGAGCACATCGACATCTACCACCTGACGCGGGAGATGCCGCCCAGCGAGAAGACGCCGCTGCAGTGCGTCATGGAGGTGGACACGGAGCGGGCCATGCTGGAGCGGGAGGCCGAGCGCCTGGCCCACGAGGACGGTGAGGCGCCGGGGCTCGGCCGGCGGGCGCTTCAGGGCGGTGGGGGGGGAGGCCTGGACTCTGGCTCAGGCTTCCCCTCCCTCCCTCCCTCCCTCTCCTCTCCCCGCAGCCGAATGCGAGAAGCTGATGGAGCTGTACGAGCGGCTGGAGGAGCTGGACGCGGACAAAGCGGAGGCGCGAGCCTCCCGGATCCTCCACGGCCTGGGCTTCACCCCCGCCATGCAGCGCAAGAGCCTGAAGGACTTCAGTGGGGGCTGGCGGATGCGGGTGGCGCTCGCCAGGTGGGTTTGGCGCCGCCCCAACTTCCCTCCGGGACTTCCCCTCCCCTCCGCCGTTTCCCTGACGGGCCCCTCTCTCCGCAGGGCCCTCTTCATCCGGCCCTTCATGCTGCTCCTGGACGAGCCCACCAACCACCTCGATCTGGACGCCTGCGTGTGGCTGGAGGAGGAGCTGAAGACGTGAGTCCGGGAGGGGAGGGGGTGGGGGGAGAAGGGAGGGGACTCCTTCGTCGGGGGTGGTGGGAGAAAATGGGGTAACCTCTGGCCTTCCCCTGGCAGGTTCAAGCGCATCCTGGTCCTGATCTCGCATTCCCAGGACTTCCTGAACGGCGTGTGTAGCAACATCATCCACCTGCACAACCGGAAACTCAAGTACTACACGGTGAGTTAGGGAGGGAGGCCGGGCCCGGGGCCCCGCCCGGCTGTTCCTGACCGCAGGCAGCCCCCCTCACGGAAGGCAGCCTTCCTCAAGCATACTTGTTTGAAAAGCAAAACCTATTTTAGTGCAACGCTGGGAATTGCTTCCATTCCCAGCCGGAAGCTTCTCTTAAACCATTGCCCAAGATAAGCACCCACCTTTCAGGGCTGAGGAATGCTGACAAAAACAGAAAGGTCCAATTAAGTATCAAAGAAACCAACCCAAGGACCCGAAAAAAGCCAACCAAAGTACACAAAGCTTCCAGGAGGACTCGGAACCTATTGAACTACCTTGCTTCCTGCAAAGGTTTCCTTCTCTTGGCCTCACTTTTATCCCTGATCACCTCTCAGCCTTACTCCGAGTCGCCCCTTTTGCTTCAGCTGCTCTGCGCAACTGGGAACCGGCTCACCTGGGTCCTCTGCCTCGCTGCTGGTAGACTCCGGAGGCTCCAGAGGCGGCACCCCCCCCCCCCCCTCCCCGCCCCCGGCCGCCGGCCCCCCCCCCCAGTCCTCTCCAGACTGGTCCCCCTCTCTTCCCCACTGTCTTGACTCCGCTCGCGATGCCTCTTCCTCCCTCCCCACAGGGCAACTACGACCAGTACGTCAAGACCCGGGTGGAGTTGGAGGAGAACCAGATGAAACGCTTCCACTGGGAGCAGGACCAGATCGCCCACATGAAGGTTGAGCGGCCCTGGCTCCTTCCGCAAGCGCAGGGCTTACCTTTTGGGGGGAAGGGGGGGTTGAGGGAGGTCGGCGTCCGGGGCGTGAAAGCAACTCTGGCCTCCTTTGCAGAATTACATCGCCCGCTTCGGCCACGGCAGCGCCAAGTTAGCCCGCCAGGCGCAGAGCAAAGAGAAGACGCTCCAGAAGATGATGGCCTCCGGCCTGACCGAACGCGTCATCAATGACAAGGTCAGGGCTCGGCGGCTGGCCGGCCGGGGGAACCGCCAGTTTCGGGGAGCGCTCGCTTTCGCCCGAACCGGTCGAATCCCACCTCAGCTGGCGAGGGGGGAAGGGCACAGCCCCCGGGGGTGAAAAGGAAAGAGGTGCCAAGATGGCCGTCCTTCTCTTCCTCCCCCAGACCCTTTCCTTCTACTTCCCCTCCTGTGGGAAGATCCCGCCTCCTGTCATCATGGTGCAGAACGTGAGCTTCCGCTACAGCAAAGACGGGGTGAGTAGGTGGGAGGGAGGAGGAGGAGGAGGAGGAAGAGGGAGGGAGGGAGGATGGGATGGCGAAGCCTCTCTTGGGTTGCTTCCCTCCAGCACTGGATCTACAACAACCTAGAATTCGGCATCGACCTGGACACCCGGGTGGCTCTGGTGGGACCCAATGGAGCTGGGAAGTCCACGCTGCTCAAACTCTTGACCGGAGAGGTAATTACTACACACACACACACACACACACACACACACACACACACACGGTGTTTCTGGTGGGTGGCCGAGCTCTTCCTTCCCTCAGCCGCCTCTTCCCTTCCTCCAGCTGCTTCCAACGGACGGCATGATCCGGAAACACTCGCACGTCAAGATTGGCCGCTACCACCAGGTGGAGTTGGGGGGCGCTGCTTCCCGGGAGGCCCTTCTGGGCTTGGAAGAGTCACCAGGGTGGGGGGTGAGGGGTGTTGGGTGCGATGCCCCAGGACGTGGCACAAAGGCAACTCAAAGGCCAGAGAA